CAAATAGAATGAATGCATGAATAAATGAATGAATAAACAAACAAACAAACAAATGCTGTAATGGATCTTACACTGAGCGAGGGGTTGGCATAGGTGACCCCTAGGGTCGCTTTTATTCTATGATTCAATGAATAGGGAAGGGGTGGGACCTTATATGGATATAACTACACCTATGGCAATATCCAGAAGTATGTTGCCCCAGTTACATGCTCCCCAAATTGACTGTGATGTTGTATAAATGTTATACATGTCACTGCTGTGGCAGGACCCTGTTGGTTTATACAGGAAAAGCTATCTTTAACCCAGAATGCCAAGTGATGACTGTAAACCTGTTGAGTGCTGGACTGAGAGATAGATAAGGATAGGTTCATGAGATCAAGGAGGAACATGAGGGTTTGGGTGGGGTGAGAATACTGGAGCCCATTGAAGTTGGAAGGGGAAAAAGAATCACGATCTCATGGCACCCCCATCTTTCATGAGACCCCTGCAATCACCCCTACCCCCATCCCAATAACTCCTGATCATTAAGAGCAGCTCTTTCTCAATTCTCTTTCCTCCCTGTTCCCTGGTGCTGAGAGAGTCAGTGACATGGGAACAGTTCAATTCAGAAGTAGCCAAGGTCAGCTAATTGAATGTATCAAAGTCACTCAAAAGTGCTCTGAGAGTAGAGACGTTACATGATTGAGGGCAACTCATCCCACTGGGTGTTCAGATAGATCCCAGTGACTTTGATACACCTCCCTGCTCTATTCCCCTCTCTGGGGTAGCTTTTGGCCTCCTGATCCCTCTGTGACTTCCTGCCTGTAGCCATGGACCCCCACTGTGTGCTCTGCCACCCAACATGGTGCTTGATTTCCTGGCCCTGTTTGTGATGCCATTGTGCATGGAAGACAATCGCAGAAGTCAACAATTCCGGGTAGGCCCCATTTTCTTAGCATCTTTGTTCAGGTAGTTCACTGAGTACCATGAGACTTCCCCCTAGGAAGAGACATGTGTGGGTTTGCGTGCAGGTTTTGGATAGGCCACTTCTGGCTGGCAGTTGTTGCTGAATTAGAGCTTCCAACAGTCCCTGAAGATCTAGCCTATTTGGTACATGAGAGAAATGGCCCTGCACGTGAGTATTTATTTAGAAGGAAGCCCCACTAAACTAGGTTGACCCCAACAGCGGCACTCTCCATATTGAGGCTGCCTTCTACGAAGCCCCCAGCCTTCACGGGCCTCTCACCAGAGGCTTCAGCACACGCTCATCAGGTTGCATTGAGCAACATGTACGGTTTTGGTTGCCAGCTGTCCAGCTGACCCCTCTTGCTGCAAAGTGAAGGGGGCTTTTGTCAAAAGCCAGGCTCGGCTTGCCCTTTCCACTTGTAGCATGTGAACCCTTCTCCATTTTAAACTGCCCCCCCCCCATTACAAACAGCGACTAAAAATCTTTCAGTTGCAAAAGAAAAGAAGGGAAAAGGGGTAGAAAAAGCCTACTGGGACTGGCATGAGCTAGTCAATGCAGTGGCTCCCAGCATTATGTTCAATCCCTCTCGGAGAACCAGAGAGGCCAGGATCCCTTCCAACTGTTGAGCTCTGTAGCCATAATCCATGTTGGAATAAAGTTGCATGAAAACAAGCGAAGTCATCCCCACAAAGAGTGTTTTTAATTCAGATATTTTTAAATAATTCAAAGAAGAGGTTAATGTTGAAGTGCTAGTGACTTTCACTAGCCCCCTATCAGTCCTTAAACACATATATTTGAAGAACGGCTCTGACTGTGTTAATCTGTCCAGCTTGAAGACTCTCTTTCCTGGAGACACAACACAAACAGAAACCCAAAAGACAACCAGCTTTTCTCAGCAGTGGGATCCCGGCTATGTAATGCCTTTCCTAAAGAGGCTGCATGGGCTCCAGCATTGCCACCTTTTCAGTGTGGAGCAGCACATTCCTTCCATCCAGGAACTTCAAGGTGGCACAACCTTTGCCAGGTCCAGTCTGAGACTGGGAAGATCCTCAGCCAGAGAGTTCTTCTGGGTGACTTGGGGTG